GAGCCCAACCCAAAGTCCCCAGGCTCAGCTTCCTCAACAGAAGGCATGTTGGTGGGATTGAGGAGGTCTTCGAAGTATTTATTTACCTACCTAATGTTATTTRACCAGRTAAGTCCCGTTGACATTGCAGATCTCTYTTTCAAGGGCAGCCTGGGCCTAAAGGCTACCTGTTGTACAGGTTTTTGTGGGTGGGCGAAAACCGAAGTACCCGGAGAAAACCCACGAAAGCCCAAGGAGAACATGCAAACTCCGGGGATCGAACCCAGGACCTTCTTGCTGTGTGACGTCGGTGCTAACCACCGAGCAGTCGTGCAGCCAATAGATCACAGCCGCACCTCAGAGTTTGAACAGGTCTAGTCAAGTCACAACCTTGGYGTGAAAGTGGCGTACGCACGTTTCTGGGCTCATTTTGTGCGTACGCAAGCTTTATAAATCTGACCCCAGATCTTTTTTCCATATCACTTTCCTAAAAAACTCGCTTGACTTATTTCTCCAAGTTTTTCAGGAAACATAAAAAAACGTAACCATAAATGTAAAGTATGATTTATTTTTGTGTGTGTTTCCTAATGATAAACTTGAAAAATATGAGTTAGGTGATTATTTTAGGATGGTGGCGATACATGTTTCAGGTTGTGATGGCATCTAATGTCAGCAGCCTCTAAAACGCATCACATACATTGAATGTTGGCATTATTTTGCATGTAGAATATTTATTTTTTGTTTTTTTATATTGTGTGTGTTCAAATCAGTTTTTTTTTATCTTACAGACTACTGTGCCAGTAAGTTTGCAGCTGTGGGGTTTGCAGAGTCTGTCGGCCTGGAGCTGCTGGCAATAGGGAAGACTGGAATCAAGACCACTATTGTGTGCCCTTACTTCATCAACACAGGAATGTTTGATGGATGTCAAACCAAGTAGGTTTCTGTACCTGAACTTTCTGTCCTACTTATCTTTGAACTTTGGGTCATTGACCTTTTGTTATCGGTACATGTTTGGGGAAAAAAGACAACACTGTCAGTTTGGTTTGACATGTCAGGCCAAAATATAACTGATCTGTTGTTCATACTAAAAGTGAATGTATGACCAAAGGGCAAAATGGTGTACGCCCCMAAAAAAAAAAATCAGATTCATAAAACCATGCGCACACACAACTTCAAGAAATTTTCCTTTATAGATCACTGCTGCCCCTCAGAGTTTGCGTACAAGGTCCCGCCTCAACTTCTGCCCTCTACACGCC